GGGGGGGGGGGGGGGGGGGGGGGGGGGGGGGGGGGGGGGGGGATGCAAGCTGCCAGCCAAGAGTTTTCAAGGGGCTACCATAACAAAAGAAGAATTTCTAGGCACACCGTGATGTTCATTACTTTATGTAAGGCCCCCCAAAAGCTGGTACTTTGGTTTTCTACAAGATTACTTTTTGTGTGGTTCTGGAATAATTTGCAGTTTGTGAATTCTACCCAATGCCAAGCAAGTGACTCTGGTTTTTAGAATATGCGCAGACTTAATCTCTTTCTCCACAGTCCATTCTTTAAAGATTGAAATAATAAATGCATAAAAAACCTCTACAGGCTTCAAATGTAAAAGAAATGTTCTCCTACCCCTTGCATGTCTCTGTTTCTGAAACTGCAGAAGGATGCTTATCTTCAGGGACTCTCATTTAAAATTCCTATGTGTGAATGAAATTCTTAAAAACAACAGCACTTGCCCTGTGAAGACATGTCTTACAACCTGCATTAGAGGCATGCACAAACCTGGCAGATGTCTCCCATGGATGAAAGCAGAGCTTGAAATATATTTAGCAATCAATCCCATGGTTTGGAGCTGATAGCAATTCTTTTTAGGTGTCAGCTTTAATTAATATTTTTAAAATCCTAGATGTAAAGCTGACTCATAGCCAAACTCACTCTGATATTAATCACACAAATACATTTAACAAGCATATTTTGTTATGTAACTAGTAGGCATGGAGGGACCATGGAGAGTGATGAGGGGAACTTTATCTTTCTATTCTGTCCCTGCTTCTCGTTTGCTGAAAGCAGTTCACATTTTACAGAAAGTCAGAACTGACAGTTTTGTAAAATGCCAATTTTGTCAGGATCCTGGAAGGGAGTTAAAAGTCCTTTTCCTTACATTCTGGAGGCTGATTGGGTGCCATATCTAGTTTGGCCCTCAGAACCAGAGAACTTGAGTATAGACCTCTCTGCATTAAGCCTTTAACTTGGGCCTTTAAATAGGCCTCTTCCGTTTCTTTGCTTGAGGGCGCGTAATTGACACGCTTTCTTTTACTTTTTCCGCTTCCTCTATGTTGACTTATACAACCACAAGGTGGTGCTATAGTAGAACGCAATTTCTGAATTAGAAGCGCTTCTATTTCAGCCTTTACAAAGTAATACCTTATTATTCCTATTAAGCCGCAAATAGGCCGACAAAATGAGGCGGGGAGACCTGGAGGATGGAGACGTCGTGTCACGGTCCTACCAGATTCTGTGAGTGAAGGGTCCCGAGTGCACAATGCCTCGTGTAGAGAAGCCCAGGCCCAGCTTGAAGACTCGCCATAAGCCAGCATCTAGATTCTAGTTCAGAGCGAGTCTTCCAGTGGGCAAGTAAACGCTCTTTCGCAATGTCAGAGCAGCAACAGTTGAGGGCTTTGTTAAAACCCGCATACGTTGAAAGCAGAAATGTTGATGGATTCAAGAAGCTGGTTTATATGGTTTCCTTGACTGGGTGGATAAAAAGCGCACTTAAACGCCAGTTTAGAGATTGAGAGTTTGTCTTGTGTGTGGAGTACTTCAGTATTTTTTGCATGGCCTTTCTTTTTAACCCGTATGGGAGCCCTCGAGGTTGTGGTGTGAGCCATTCTATCATAGTTTCCTGAGTAGAAAAAAATTCAGATGTTTAATTTGCAGAAAGGCATTTAAATTGCAGAAAGGGCAGTGAAAAAAATATGTTGTGTTCCATCACATTGTATTTCAAGAGAGGACACAATGACTCAACAAAATCTAAGATGAGAGAACAAACATTCTAGGAAAGACAAAGCCACTTCCATTTCAGCCAAGATGTATTCCTTGTTAACCAAAAGCGACAACTAAGCCTCAGGTGCCCCTAAAGAGAATTGCTAGGAGATCAATTGGGTAAGTCACAGCTCTCAAACATTCCTTTTCAAACTGGAGAAAAAAATCACCTGTTGATGTTAAATGCAACAGCTAATACTTGTGCTATATATTTGATTTAATGCTTTTAATTACTTTGAAAGGGCTGTTTTGCTGTGTTTCTAATAAAGACATCAGTAACATTTATTTACCACAACTGTAAAGTGGACCCCACGTACAGATATAGCAGGTGGCAAACCCATCAGTGCAAAAATCCTGTGAAATCATGTCATAATACTGTTGGGGGTAGGAGAGGGGAAACCTCATTTTGGATGTGCATGCCAGTTCTTTTGCTAACTGATCAATGTAAACAGGTACAGTAACTGTAAACCCTGTGGCAGTGAAGAGCAGAGTAAAACAGCCAGATTAAAGACTGAAGCATGCCATCAACAAGAATCTTACAACTTTAAAGACGAGCAGCATGACACCAGCGATATTGCTCTGCTTCGCACATGACAGAGGAAGCTAAATTTGCTTGTTGTTCTATTTTATCAAGAAAGGCAGAGTAATACATATCGGTTATTCCTGTTGTACCAATGGATGTGGTACAAATATTTTTATCATTGCCAAAAGGCACAAAGTATTAACCATTATTTTGATGACCATTTGTTGTAGCAAAATAGGTTCTAGCTTTGGCATGATACAAGTAGTCTCAAAGCAGGGGCAGAAATCTAACCCTCTTCCTCCTGCAATCACTGTTTAACACAGAGAAACTTAATCTTGTGTGGTGCACATTCTAGAGTTTTCAATAACTGGTATTTATAAACATTTCTAAGTTGACACAGAATTCTTAAGATGAAGGATCCCTCCATATAGGAGGAGGTTCATCAACCCCTCCTTTTTAACTTCCTTAGGACATAAATGTATGGGGTGGGGGGTGGTATTTATTCCAGGAAAGCAAATTTGGAGTTACACCTTCTCTCTTCTGTCTTGAGTAATTTATTAAAACTTCCTCATTCACCTCTCTCTCACATATACATATTAAAAGAAACATAACTTCTTTTGATGTTTGAGTTAAAACAATATTTGAATTGAAACATGCCCCCTTCCTTGAAAAAAAAGTACTTGCAAATGTCTGAGCTTGCCAGACACCAACATGCCTTAGCACACCAATAGCTGAATACTTCTCCTCTTCTCCCACTATGTGTTTTTTCTATTACACAAAATGCATTTTGGAATGCAATCAATAGGAGCTGTGATTTTTTTTTTTAATTCTAACGAAGGACCAAATTCAAAGTAAATAGAATATTTGGAAACAGTCTGGATTTTTTGCATTTAAACAAGTGTGGCAACCCCTATTAAGAGAACCAACCAAAAATATTTCCTTAAACTGTTTCATTAATCTTTGTCTCTCTAAGCTCCAGGATCTTAAAACAGGAAGTATCTGTAATGTTTTCAAGTATGGAATCTATTATCCTGGTTTTTGAAATTTCAACCCTTGTAATTTAATAGAAATATATTTTCTATCATTTTTCAGGTTATACAGAGGAACTTGTGATGACAGAACAAAAAAATAGGTATGTACTGAATATAAATCATGAAGCAAAGTATGTGTACTTTGACAGAAGGCTGCTTTATGCTTAAAAAACTGTGCCGTTTAAAATATCTTAGCAATAAAAATGAACTGCTATTTCAACTAGGGCTAGCTAAGAGATTACTTATCCATTCCTGAGCAATCCTGGTGTGGAGAGAAATTACCCTGCTTAGTTTACAGCCAGCAGTAAAATTTCCTCTCTGATCATAATGCAGAAAAAGCAAAGTGTAATTTGCACTGCTTTGTGTTTATGCCATCTTCAAGCTCATGTGGACAACCTCTATCTCTGATGTTCTCTCGTCTCCTATATAGGTTTGTAGTCTTGCCATCCCTTCCCCAGTGGTGTCAAGTCATACCTTCCTGAGCTAACCAAAAGTGGCACAGACTGAAAGCATTCTTGATAATTCCTGCCTCTTCCCTTATGTGCTTTTCACCTCAGGTTTCTGTATTGTCATTGTCTTTTTTCACTTGACCTTCTCCAGATGTTTTGGCCTTTGGCAGGGGCTTCTGCAGGGGCACTGCTACACTCTGAAAAGGTTCAGGGCCCTTTTTCCCCTAAGTTTAATTACCATGCAGAGGTAAGATTTTTAGGGGCTTAAATTTTTATTAATCAAGACCCCATTTATCAATTTAGCTTAGGAAAAGTCCTCTACCTGGCACAAACAGAAAGATTGAGCGCAGAAACTGCATGAGCAATGAGGGTCAACACCTTCTTTCCCTAGCTAAAACCCTGCTTAAAAGTTGTCCCTTGCATGTGAATTAACCTGAGACAAAAAATCCATTAGTATCCATGGGTAATTAGAGATCTGAGGAAAGGATCTGGGACCCTGGGAACATATTGGGGCCCTCTACCAGTGGTCCTGGGCTTGTGGGAGCTGAAATCTAAAATATCTGAAGATCTAGCGTCTGCCCGCCTTTGACTTAGATAATCAAAATTATAGTTGTGCTACAAACAGTGAAGAGTGAAATAAAGTGTTTCATTCCAAAACTATCTGCAGGAAAGAAATACCCAGATGCCTTGAAGCATCTCTACTCTGGGAGGCACTGCTACAAGAGCACTAATACTGAATCTAGGATGAAAGCATCAACTATAGGAGTGTCTGTAAAAATTCTACAAGGAATCTTGTGGCACCTTAAAGACTAACACAATTATGCTGGCATAAGTGATTGTGGACTATAGCCCATATCATCAGATTCAGGATGCAGGCTAAAGTCCATTAAAGGTTGTTCCATAATACATTCATTAATCTTTAAAGTTGTTATTTTGCTAACATGACTGCTCTCTTGAAAATGCAATAACTCTGGTTTTCTCTCTCAGTTCCTTTTCCAAATTTGGGTTCCCAGATGTCATTGGCCTACAAGCCCCAACATCCTCAGCAAGCCTAGCCGATAGTCAGAGATGCCAGGAATTGAAATCCACCAACATTTGGGAAAATTGCTTTATAACTCTGAGACATCCCAGATTCTTTAAAATTGAATGTTGCTAATATGGGAACAATACCTGGAGTGTGAATCAGTAAGATGCCATTCTATCAAGAGGACAGGCCCACCAGACAATGGACTGAAGTCCAATATACAGATCAAGGTAGTTGCCCAATGATTGGCTGAAGTGGAGAAAACTCTGATTTCTCCCTGAATATTTGTTAAAATCCCTCACAGAAAATCAAAGCAGTGTAATTTGGAGCATGCTTTTCAAAATAGTGTTACCCATTGTAGTCTGTACCAACAGATTGGCATGCAAGAATGTTAAATGTTAGAATCATGAATTTTGAAGACTAATGTTCAATCCTTTTACATCAGATAGACGCAGGATGGTTTTTATGCATAGCTCCTCATTAATATTGGGGAAAAAACCCATTCTGTGCAGGTAAATGCTCTTTGGACGTAATTAAATATTGTATGCTGAATGAAGAATGAAATTTCCAAGCAAAAAAGGTTCGGTATTCTAGAGGAAATGTAAAGCCTGCAATAAAATTGATTTAGGTTTCTGAAGTTAACTTTTCTTCCCCAAAGAGCTGGTTACCTCCTTTGAATGTGTACAGAATCTTTCTGGGTCAGCCTCAATAACATGCCTAATTGAAAACTGAAATAAATGCTGGCTTTTTCTGAGGTCAGCTGTGTGTAGCAAAGGGTTTGGAGCATGTGTTGGACTGCCTTGTCATCACACAGAAATTACAGGAAAAACCCTGGTTGGTGGTCTGCTAAAGAATGATTTTTGATTTTAAACTGGAAAGAGGAACAACAGCAATGTAATATGGGAATTCAGCTGGGAAATGTGTGCTGAAAACACTACGCTCTTACTCCAATACAGGTCCTTTTCACACATTAGACTCCACAAATGGTCTCTTTGGTTTGATAGGGGATGTCTGTCCTTGCCTAGAGTCTCTGGAAAGTTGCCTATAGAGGTTGTCCTGATATGCCTGCGCAACAGGCAGTGTCCTGGCCACCTTAACATCGGGATATGAAGAGGTTTGACTAACTCTCTCTAGGAGGTCTCCTCGGGAGCCATTGGCCAACATCCCATGTGGGTTGTAATATTCATCCTCCAGCAAGTGGCCATTCTGTGCATTGTTGGTTTTGTTATAAAAGGCAATGCTGCTGATTGAGGAAGGCGGACTGAACGTTTCTGGCTGAGGAATATTCCCAGGAGATGTGGGGCTTATAACAGTATCCACTGAAGATACAGCCCATGTTCTGTTCTGTTGGTGTAGATGAGGATACTGCTGAGTCCGGGCAGTTTTATCGATGATTCCCATGAAAGGTGTGGTCCTGGAGCGGGCGGGCTCACTGGGGTAGCTGCTCTGTGTTGGAGAGACTGGGGAAAGCTCATCACATGACCTGTCATAAGCTGGCTTAAGGGGAATCTCCATCTGCTGAATAGAAGCAGAAGGCCGGAATGGGGGATTCAGATTGGGAGTGGATGAGATGCTATTGCTAGAAGGGGAAAATCTGAGGCCAACACTTTGGGAATGAAGCAGAGGTCTTGGAGTTGGTGGATGGGGCTTTATTTCACTAGGGTTTACTGTCATGGGCCTTCGTATCAAATGAGAGATGTCAGGGGAACCAAGCTGGCTGGATGGTAGGGAGGAACGTTCCAGATCAAGCTTTGCATGACAGACTGGATAATAGGAAGCTGACTGGCTGCGCCCAATCTGTGGGGTTTGACTGTATCTCATCCCACCACGGTAGGCAGAGGAAGGTCTTTGTGGAAGATCCTCTTTAGCCAGCCCTCCATGCTGGCAGATTGCTCCTGCGCTGAGACTTGCTTGGACGTGCTGTACTGGCCTCCCATCCCCCACAATCCCTCCAATGGAGCTCTGGTAGACCAGTCGACTTTGGCCAACAGCTATTTCTGTTGATGCAGGTTGGTACTTGCTGGCCACTGAGTGGGCTACTTGGCCATAAGTGCCTGTAGGAATCACGGTACTGCAGTGCACAGCTGAACCCGACTGGTTGCTTCGGACAATCTGTGCCTTGGCGGGCTGCAACCTGATCCCCTGCTGGGGGACCGCAACAGGTAGTGGAAGCATCTGGAAAGACCTCTGTGTCATTTTAGAGAGTGGAGATTTTGGCCGACTGGGAAGCTGACTGATGCTGGGTTCCTGCTGATATCGCACTGGTGAGCCAGACTGGACCCTGTAGACATTCATGTTATCTGCAGGAGGGCTGGCCCGGTATTGAGGGCCTCTGCGAAGAGGTGAAGGAGGTGGACTTTGATATTCTTTCCCTTGGCTACCAGTTGGAGGTGGGCTAAAATGGTAAGAGGCCTGGTGAGCAGGAGATGTGTGTGGGGGGCTATGCCTATAATGGGAATTCTGATGTGTTGGGGAGAGTGCTGGAGAGGTGGGCTGGTACCCTTGCCTTGTTGGTGATCCCAAAGAACTATTTGACCTGAAGTCAAACACCTGATGTGAACCAAGTGGTGAGCTGGAGATGTAGGTTGAGTCCCGATGGGCAGGGGAAGAGGGTGGACTTTGGATGACGGGCAGTGTTTGGCTGGACTGTGACTCCGTCTGCAAGCCAACAGAAATGTTTTCTACATCTTGCTCAAGATACTCCTCTTCCAAGATGTCTTGCACTTCATACAACTCTTCATGATGTGTTTCTGCTTCAGATACTACAAGAGGTTGTTGTTGTAGCTGCACCTGTGTCTGCCTGCACTCTTCTTCTACCCTCATGAGCAGCCGCTGGATCTCACGGTTGTTCGGACAAAGCTTGATGGCCTCGTTCAGGTCCTCCAGTGCTGCTGAAAACTGTCTGCTTGATCCAAAAGAAAGGACAAAAGAAAAGAACCAAAGTTACTCTGGATTGGAATAGATTCAATACTCCTTAAGCAACAAGTTTCTTACAAAGAAAAACATTGTTAGTTATGATAGGGAGGCTGTTTCAAATCTGTAAACCAGATTCTTCAATTTTTGGCTGTTTCTTCCATTCTATAGCAGAAGATACAATGTTTCCACATCAGAAGTAGTTCTGGAATATTTTCAACACTGTTTTCTTGGAAATGAAGAGAATAGGGAAGGCAACTTTGGAGTATGGAGGATAGTTGTAGCTTTGCTCCTCCAACTATTCTGTGCTGAGGATTGTGCCCTTGGAAATGAAGGGAACAAGGAAGGGGCAAGTGCCTGACACAAGTCCACAAGGACTTTGGCTATCTTTTGAGGAAGAGAAGGGTGGGTAGTTTGGGGGAGGTGGGTTGTCATTTACAGGGACACTGGTAGCATTTGAACAAAACAGTCATCTAATTGAATGTGGTTCTGATTGGTAGAAAAACTCTACACCCTTCATACATTTTGCTTTCTTGTTTGGTTTTTAAAGCACAAAAATGTGTTTTTTAAAACACACAAATTGTGAATCCCCTAACAGTTTGACCTATACTGACTGCTGATGCTGAGAGGTGAGGCGAGGTGTGGCGCGGCAGGGTGAAGCGAGGCGAGGCGAGGGGAGGCAAGGCGAGGCTTCTTTCGCTGTGCTGAATCTCAAGAAACTAAATGTGGAACAATCCAAGAAAGGAACCTGGTTGCCATGCTGTTGAACAACATACTGCAAACAATGCAGAACCAAATCAAAGAGTATAAAAAGTGGAAAAATGTAACACTGACAATGTTGCTCAACCAGGGCACAATCTTATGGCTGGTAGGCTCTGGCAGGCTGGCCATAGAAAAGTGTGGAGTCTTTACCTTCTGATATTGCAGTTGGAACTCCACCTTCAGAGCCCTCCATTCCAGCCCCCCCCCCCAGCAAGCACAACTCTTTTGTGGGGAGGGGAGGGGCTGCTGCCAAATCCACACAGTGCTCAGCCTCTCCTCATGAGGATGGGTAAAACAGACAGCCGAAATTGTCCGTCTAGAGGTTTTTGACGAGGGGAGGGCAGAGGCAATCCTCTCTGCACTTCTCCTGCTTGGAGGCCCATCACTTTCTGACTTTGGAAGGTTGCAGGTCACCTTATTGGGCTGCACCCTCAGTAGAGCTTTTTCTCTGGAATGGAAACCTTTTCCCAGCAGGGAGAGAACCAGGTAAGAGTATATTAACAGCTCAGTGTGCTGTCCAATGAGCTAAGAGGTTAAACTGCAGGGCTTTTAGCTCAACACTGATGGGTGGATATAAAAGAACCTCTGATGCAAACCAAAGCTCCACACACTCACAACAGGTATCTTCTCTATGAGCTACACAAAGAGGTGAGAAGTTGCTGAAATGTCAAGTTCTGCAATGAATTCAGCATTTCAGCCCTCCTGTGCACCAGCTATTCTCACCCCATCTCAGGTACAACAACTAACCTTAGCTCACAGTGTAGAGGAATTTCTGACTAACCCCTGACCCTGTCCTCCAAAGCTCACCTGGTACATGCTTCAGTGATCTGAATAACATTAGCACTGGCAAAGCACTCTGAAGACACCATAATCTAACTTATGACATTGCTAGACTGGGAACAGTGGAAGGTGTTCAGTGTGATGGAGGGGGTTGGTGCTGAGCCTGCCATTATAGTTTCCTTTGGCCAGTCTTTATTGCTCTTTATTCCTTGTGGGGAATGGGGACATTTTTGGTGTGTGTCACACCCAAACCTCAGGAGAACAGAAGCTTTCATTTGTCTCTGGCTCTCCTCTCACCTGCTGCTGCGTTTGGCCCTTGCTCTTGCATAGTAAGCTTCATAAGATTTCGGTTTCAGCTCCAGTGCTTTAGTAGCAAATTCCTCCGCCATTCCAAAATCCTGCCATTACAATAGGTGCGTAGATAAGTCATTGCATATATACACACACAGAGAATTTGGGAAGAACAAAATAATATGACATGGACATATTTTTGTATGTGGATTCAGTATTTTCCAACATTAACATAATGTCACAGATAGCTGGTATTGAGAGATTAAACCCTATTTTGTGAACACACAGGTTATACACTCCTTAGCTGGGTCTGTAAGTGTGATGACTATTTCCCATGAAGTTTCCAAATCTGCCTGCTATCAATTAATCTCTGAAAAGCTCTGCAAGCTCCATGTTTCTTTTGATTTGGCAGCTCTTGTTTTATGTGCACCTGCACTGTCAATTTAAAGACACGACCTGGGTGATTCTGGCCATTGCTGGATGGAGAGTCAACTATACAACTTTTAGACTGTTTTGTTGTGTTCTTCTCATATTGTTAAGGTAGATGAGAGAATGCATCCTGGAGTTGTACAATGTGGCTTTCTTCCACATTGACAGAATGCTGGCCATGATCCCAGTGCCCCAGAAAAATGTGCACTCAGTGACTGTGCAAATGTCTCTTTTGTATGTACCTGAGAACATGCGTAGAGTTTCTCCGTGTCAGTGTTCCACGTCCCTCAGTTAAATACACTGAAGGCAGCAGGGGGCATGTCTGGAGTGAGGTGCAGGGGCCAGGTGGCCCAATACAACCCCTAGGCTCTCCCATGTTCTTTCAGAGAGTGCAAGGATTCACGTGTAAGTTATCTTTAGAGCAAAGCATGTCATCTTGCGCTTGCTAAATTCCAAGAAAGGACAAGCATTGATGTATCTGAATTTTGTGTAATCCATAAAAAAGAAGGCATGGGCAAAGGAAAAACTGAGGAAACCATTCCTTGGCTATACAGAGCTCGGGTGCCTGTTTTTACTTATATTATTAATTTCTGCTTTCTTTCCTTCATAGTAAGGAGCACCTCACCCCAGTACTTGCAGATGAAAGGTCATCATAAAGTCATACTGTTTCTTTCACAGATCTGTGGCCACCATTCACACATGTGATCAGTTTTTCTGCTGGAAAACCTGTCTATTCCTTTCAGCATTTGCACACTGCATCCATACATCTACATATATATAATGTGACTATATGCTGATCTCTATATACTTGAGTCATTTTAAACTGGTTCCTCAACATAAACAGCACTCTTTCTCATACATATGTACACACACACAATCAGCTTGTGATTAACATAAGATATTGCCCAGCTCCATGAGGAAGACAGGAGGGTGCAGGGTTTCAAGTATGTGTGTTTTAACTGTGGCTCACTGTTCCAAGAGAAAGCAAGAGCTTCAGAAGGCAAAGACAGCATTTAAATCTACCATCCTTCTCCAATCTTTACACACACAGAATTCTTTTTAAAAAATCAATGACAGCTATAACAGCAGTTTGTTTTTGATGTTTGTTTTAAATAGTGATGAGTTTTCAATTGCTTGAAATGCATCTTAAGACTATTGCTTGGCTGTTTCAGAACTATAAAACGCCAGTGCTCTGTGAAGGACAACCAGGTTACAAAAAGGTAGAGGTTTACAAGGCCATTCCAGGATTCTGGGGTTTGTTTAGGGAGTGGTTAGGAACAGGAGAGGGTCCTGGGAAAGGATCATGTCCAGGTAGGGGCTTTGAAAAGGAGGCCACTTACATTCATTTTCCTCCGACATCGGGAGAGGTTGAGAAGCAATGACACTTTCAGCTCTCGGAAGGTTTTCAAGTCCTCTCCAAACCCTTCTCGGGGGAACTTCTTCAAAGCATACTGGTAGCGCTGGGCCGCCTCCTTTACTTTCCCTTTCTGGTAGAATGGCAAATAAGTCAAAACACACCACTGAGTTTTCTATTTCAAAACAACCTATGAAAACACCTGCACAAGCCTGAATGGTTCAGCCTACAACAGGTTCTCGAAATAAGCATGGCATGGCAGCTGTCATTCCATATGCAATTTGGCTACATGCAAATAATCCAGAGTCAATTATTCAAATCCATTTCTGGCATTCTTTTAGAGCAGGGGTCCTCAAACTTTTTGAATAGAGGGGCAGTTGAAAAGCTGCGGTGACCATCGCGGGCCGGTGAGGTGGGAGTGCCTGGGGGCACAGGCCAGTGAGGCGCCATCGGGCACGCATGGCAGTAGCTCGCTTGCTCGGAGATCTCCCAGTGAGTCCAAAACCATCTCCGAGCGAGCAAGCCACCACCTCCCTGCCTGTGCAGCAAGTGCACGCGTGGGCAGCGAACAGAGGGGCGGGCCAGATGGATGGCCATGGCGGGCCGGATCCATCCTGCGGGCCGTAGTTTGAGGATCCATGTCTTAGAGTTTCTGAGGGAGAGATATTTAGGACAGGAACTGCTGCGTTTTCATAGCTGGACTAATTAAAAATAGTAAATATATGATAAAGACTAGTTCACAGAATATCAGGCTACTGGAAATTGGTTCAGAACCATTCCACACAGTGGTGCCTGAGGTGAGCCAGCCATATATACTTGACCATCTTATCACAGGCAGGGAACCAGTGTATACCCTACCAGTATTATATGCCCAGCTGTCATGTAAACTGCACTTAGAGTTTCTGAGGGAGAGATATTTAGGACAGGAACTGCTGCGTTTTCATAGCTGGACTAATTAAAAATAGTAAATATATGATAAAGACTAGTTCACAGAATATCAGGCTACTGGAAATTGGTTCAGAACCATTCCACACAGTGGTGCCTGAGGTGAGCCAGCCATATATACTTGACCATCTTATCACAGGCAGGGAACCAGTGTATACCCTACCAGTATTATATGCCCAGCTGTCATGTAAACTGCACTCAGATGCCTTCCTTATTGAATAGCAGTCTGGCATATGGGTTGGAGCAGAGCTGCTGTTTTCTTGTCACCCATGCCTGATTTTCCAATTGTGGTGACATTTGAAATGCTAACAGCTTGACTAATATAGAAACAGAGTGTGGGGCTAACAGAAAAAGTCTTTTCCTGCATGCCCCAGACCTGCAAATTGGATAGAACTCCACCAGAATATGAAGAATCCAATAAACCATGTCATTTCCAATCTGCCATCCTGCCACTCCCCCTTTCTAACTCTTATGCCTGTTGCTGCCAAGGCAATCCCCTTCTGCTCTTCTCTCTGCACCTTCATTTCTGTTCCAAATTTTTCAGATCTATGAATAAAGGAAAAATAACCATGTGACATTAATTGTGTGAATGCAGCAAGTGTGCATGTTTTTTAAAAGTGTAACCAACAGCTGTGTGGTATACGCGTGCACTCACATGTACATGCGGATAGCTTAGGAACATGGAGGGCAGGAAGGAGAAGTTTAGTTTTTTCCCCTCTGTTGTGGCCCTGACCAAAAAATGCACCCTTTTGAAGCTGTTTTGACCCCGTTGGCACCAATGAAGATTTCATGATGCAAAACAACTTGTGGAAGAGGGGGCAGTGATTTTGTTAGGGGTGTGGCAAAGAGAAAGATCCTGAACGTGTTACCCTCCATGCAGCTACTATTAACATTTTGGAAAAAAATACCCCTTTTAATTAAATTCACACAATTAGCATCACGCCAAAACCACACTGATTATGTTCCTGTGTTCAGAGATGTTACCATAAAGTAGTAAACCTTCAAACATACAATTATTTTGCATAAAAATAGCTCCAACAGAAAAGTATCAGTGATGAATGTAGTATTGCTTGAGAACAAACCACCAGAAAATGGGCAAAGAAATGCACTTCCTTCTTGACTTTCCAAATCATTTTCTCACTAAATGTCAGGGATGAATAGCAGTAACAAATATAGAATATGTATTTAGCTCACTGTGCATTACTGAAGGGTGAAATCTACATGGATTTGGATGCAGTTTATCTGTCTTCTTAAAATATTATTGTGTGTGTTTGTTTATTTACTATATTTGTATACCACTCTGTACCTAGGCAGATTCTGGAGCAGTGAACAGTAAAAAGATAAAACAGATAAAATAGTAAAAACATTAACATTGTGGCTCATTAGCATGAAAAAGCTTTCCTGGAACAAAGGTGTTTTCAGCAGGTACCAAAAAAAAAAAAAAAAAAAAGGCATAGTGTTGGTGCCTGCCTGACCTCCAAGGCAGAGAATTCCATAGAAATGGGTTGCTACACTGAAGGGTCTCCTGGTGGCCTCCATTCAGGTCATAGGCCCATGTGAAGCTACAAGGAGAAAGTTCTCCAATGATCTCAGTGCCCAGAGGTCACGAAGAAAGCATTCTCCTCAGTTGTTCACAGCTTTGCACACTACTACTGGAACCTTTCATTTGGCCAGGTAACAAATAGGCAGCCACTGCAGCTTCTTCAGTAGAGGGGTGCATGATGAAAAGGAGCAGCTCCTGACAACGCCCGAGATGCTGCATTCTGCACTAGCTCTGGTTTCTGGAGCAGCCTTAAGGGTAGCCTCACACAGAAAGAACTGCACCAATCTGATAATCTAGGCTCTGGTAATATCTAAACCAGAAGACTGCAATGCACTTTGTGAAGGGCTGCTCTTGAAGACTGCTGCAAAGCTTCAGCTCGTATAGAATGTAGCAGCCAGATTAATAACTGGGACTTGCACAAGACTGGTTCTGGCACACCTGCATTGGCTGCCTGTATGCTTCTGGACCCAATTCAAGGTGCTGGTTTTAACCTATAAAGCCTTACATGGCTTGGACTGCAATATCTGTTGGAGCACCTCTCCCAGCCTCAATCTACATGGATACTGCGCTCAACTTCTGAAGCCTTCCTCCAAGTGCCAATGCTGAAGGAGGCTCAAAGGGTGGCAGCAAGGAGGAAAGCGGCTTTGTGGTGGCTCCCCAACTTTGGAACAACCACCCTACTGCAGACCCTTTCAGCACCAGGTCAAGACAGCCCCTTATGCAGAAGCCATTAAAGACCCACTTCATCATTAAGGGGTCTTTTGTTGTATTTTCAGCTGTTTTAAGCCAATTTTAAAATTCATTTTAATGCTTTTAAATGATATTTATATTGCATTTTATCATTCAGATTTATTTATTTTATTCTGTTTTATGCAGTGCTGCAAACTGCCCAAAGAGCTTTGGCTATGGGGTGGTATAGAAATGAAATAAATATCTAGCCTCAAGGTTACTAGTGCCTGTATCATTGTGACTAACATATACCTGTCCAGGAGAGGTCATAGGATGGCAAACACACTCGAAGACAGTAAAAGGCATTCTGGTCAGCTACAATCATTTCAGACTCCAGCAGCAGCAATGGATGTAGGATTACCTCGAGATTACAAATCTGATCTTTCAGAGGTAGTGCATCCCTATCCAGAACAGACAAGGAACCTCTCCCCAGAACTAAGGAAACAATCATCCACAGGGCTTCCATTTGACCAGGATTCACTTCTGTTTATTGACCCTCATGAAGCCCATTACTGGGCCCAGAGACTAATCTTAGACTTGCACAGCTTCTCCTGAGTCAGTTGTCAGGGGGAGATAGAATGGTCAAGGGGATCAAAGCTTCAAATCCCCTAATGCCTATTCCCACTGACTCCATATAGATATTAAACAATATTGTGGGCAGGACACAGTTCAACTGTAACACAGTGCCTCCAATACCTATCCCACAAGGTCAGTCCAGGAGGATAGCATGGCCAATGATATCAAAAAATCAGTGAAAGATTGGGTGGAATTAACCGGGCTGCACTCCAGAATTCCCTGTCCTTGACAGCTCTGCTCAACTCTTGTAAACATAAGGCTGTGGCTTCCTTTATGGAGTCCAGCCATCTTATATTGTGTCTTTCTTTTCTCTTCTGCCTCTGATGTTCCCTAGTATGATTGTCTACTCCAGTGATTCTTGCCTTCTCACGGTATGTCCCAAAAGGACAGCTTTAGATTTGTCATTTTTGTTTCCAAAATAGCACTGGACCATCCAAAAGCATGCCACAAGGAGCACAATTATGTGCTCTAGAACATGTTTGGTGATCTTTCCTTTGCGGCTAATACCATTTGTGGTTTAGTCAACATCCAGTCTGTTTCATCAACTGTAGCCTCTGATTACACCAAGGAGCAGACTGCACTAAGGTGTGATCTGGTCTATGATTCTCTGCATCTTGTTCTGCAAGTAAGGCTGGGGCCTTCGCTGGATCACCAGCTCTGTTCACTGGAAAATCCCCAAAACATTCAGAAATCCATTGGATTCCATCAGTCTCCTGGGGCAGACCATACATATATTTGTATGTGAGTGTGCTATGCATGGGATCCTTTTGCATATTGTATATATTTATAACAGAAATTAGAAAACAATGTTACTTCCTTGGTCAGATCTACGCTGACTTTTCATTACTCAGTCTTGCTTTGCAGTCTTGCAAATGTTTAGAACACACTCTCAATCTCCAAATGGGTCTGCCTTTCCCTCAGTCCATTTCTCATTCTTAAAGCAATACTTTTGATCTTGAATTTCTTTGTGTGGCACCTAAAAGTGTTTCCGCTCATCTATCCAGTATTTGAAGTTTGGAGTGTCTTTCTCTACAGCAAGGTGTCAGACGATCCAGCACAGATAAGCCCTTTGAGGTGAATCTGGAGGCCAGGTTCGTCTTACAGACATAACAATGGAAAACATCACTCAAATCTTGAAACCTTTATGTCTACATAATGTTTGAACATGTGTGCAAACCTTGCCCTAACCTTTACACATCCTGACATTCCATTCAGAGTGATAAAATTGTTCAAATGTCATTAAGAATCAGATTTTATCCAATGTCCTATTTAACTTTGAAAGAAAATCAGTATCAGAACCAGCCTAAAGAAGTATTCTGAAGAGGAGGTGAAAATTAGCTATTTGGTCCTATCAGAAGTACAGTTGTTTGTTTGTTTATTTACTTTTCGCTTTATATCCTGCCTTTTTCCTACAAAGGGCTCAAGGCAGCTTACATCTCCTCCTCCATTTTATCCCCACAACAACAACCCTGTGATGTAGGTTGGGCTGAGAGTCTGTGACTGGCCCAAAGTCACCCAGTTGGCTCCATGGCTGAGCGGGGACTAGAACCCAGATCGTCTGAGTCCCAGTCCTATGCACTTAACCACTACACCACACTGGCTCTCAGTTGTTACTAGTTGCGAAGTCATGTCTGACCCTTTGCAACACCATGGACAACACTCCACCAGGCCTTCCTTTTCTCCACCATCCCCCAGAGTCCACTTAAGCTCACACCAACTGCTTCAGTGACTCCATCCAGCCACCTCATCCTCTACCACCCCCTTCTTTTTTGCTGTCAGTTGTTCCCAGCATTAGGCTCTTCTCCAGGGAGTCCTTCCTTCTCATTAGGTGGCCAAAGTATTTGAGTTTCATCTTCACTATCTGGCCTTCTAAAGAGCAGTCAGGGTTGATCTCCTCTAGGACTGACTGGTTTGATCGCCTTGTGGTCCAAGGGACTCGCAGGAGTCTCCTCCAGCACCACAATTCAAAGGCCTTAATTCTTCAGTGCTCAGCCTATGGTCCAGCTTTCACAGCCATACATTGCAACTGGGAAAACAATACCCTTGGCTATACGAACTTGTGTCGGCAGGGTGATGTCTCTGCTTTTTAGTATGCTGTCTAGATTTGCCATAGCCAACCATTATAAGCTATGGGCCATGTGCAAGCTAAGATGAAATGGAAAGGGGGCTGAGTTATTTCAGCAGTATGCTAAATCTTTAAGAAGCAACTAATAGGTTATGACTTTTATTTTCCATGGAATCAGCAGGGAGGAGGGGAGAAACATTGTACAATAGTGATTTCTGCAGAATGATTCCAGTTTTCAAAAATAAACCAAGCTGACTATCTGGGCCTCAAGAACGAGAGAATGGCTTTGCTTATTCTAGCTATGTGTACTACCTGACTTTCATTCAAGCCAGATGCAGATATTGTCTAATACCTGGAATAACTTTCTTAGGACCAGAGGGGTTCTCTTCATTGGGAAACTTAACTACACTTAGTCTAATGTTTATATTCTGTGCTAAAAATTAAAATTCTACACAAAATGTATGTCTAGTCAAGGGAAAACATAACACTTCATTTCTAACCATGATGAGCAAATAAAAGCAAATTGTGGAATCCTCCCTTCCACTTGTAAATTTGCTCTACCATTTCCCTACAAGCCTTAACCACAATTGAGATTATATTTGCATTGACCTTAATACTCCAATTAATATTTTTCTGGAAAAGTCTGGTCCTGTTTATGTTCCAGGCTGGATTACTGAATTTCCAGGCTGGATTATCGAAATGCACTCTATGTGGAACAGCAAGTGAAGACAATCAGGAAACTTGAGTTGGTCCTGAATGCCACTTTCAGATAGCTATTTGAGATAGTAGGATAGACCATATTATGTCAGCTTCGCTGTTTCCTGGTTTGTGTCTAGCCTCATTTTAAATTGCTGGTTTTTGCCCTTTAAAGTTCTTTGAATTGGATGGAGCATCTCAGGAATTGCCTCCTCCCAGTTACTTAAGAACTTGCTCAATTTCTCAGGCTCTTCATGTTGACAGAAATCTTGTTGGCAGGGACAAGAGACTTTTCAAATGTAGTATGCAGAGTATTAAAAACAGAAGAAAGTTGCATTTATTTTTAATGATACACTTAAAACAGTTTTATTTCAGCTAGGATCTTTTAAATGATCTGATGTTACTGCTTCTGCTGTTTATACTACTTTACTTCATTGCTAATTGTATTTTAAACTGTGTTTGTCATTGGAAAATTGCATCACACAATTAGGAGAACTGCAAATGCAGAAGGACTAACTTTTTCTTTTAGGAAACCCCAATCGGGTTGCTTTGTATTAAAATAGGAAACAAATTAATTTCTCCCATATCTTTAGTCAACAGGGAATCAGTTCATCCTGATCATTTATTATTAGGGAAGATAAAATGATTCATCATGTTTATTGATGTAGGGAAGTTGCAGACAGAATTCCAAATTCTGTACAAAATTATCCAATGTATATATATGGTACAAATTAGGTACAATTAAAAATACTTGGTCATTTGATTAATTTATGCACTTTAGCTTCTTTAAGTCACTGGAATGGAGATGGTACCCTGCAAAATAATGAAACCCCATACATGTGACATCCTATTCAGCCATCCTGTGCTTTCTTTTATTTTTGTCCAAACCATTCACATATTTTCAATCATCCTCTACAGTCCAAAGTGTTAGAAATGTTTCCCTTTCTAAATGTGAAAGCTGGGATGCAGTTTGGAGCAACTGTATCAGCAGGGTATCAACACCAAAAGAACTAGACACAAGCTCAGCTACTGTTATTTGGTAGAAGTTCTGTTTTCCATCTCACCTTGTAAAACATGTCCCCCTCTTCCATCAGCTTGCTCAACAGGATAACCATGATGTCTGGCTTGGAGGTGGCCATTGCCCAGGTTGCTGGACCTGTGGTGTACAGGATGCATGATGGGTAAAAAACTTATACAATGCAAAAGGAGGTAAGGGAGGAAACCTAAGGTGGAGAAACATCTTGGGGAAGGAAATTTCTGCTGAAGAGAACAACTTGCTGCAGTACAGCCCCAACAAAAGAGTGGCTTTCATGTGATGTCTCAAAGCAAAGGCACCTTCTCCTTGCAGTCTTATCTTTCAGCTCATTTGAAATAACTTACAACTGCTGGAGTCATTCCCACAAGAGGACACCAATATCTACGGATTGGCATTGGTGGGAATTCAGATAGTGCTTAAGGAGAAAAAAATCAAAGAGTTTAATAAGAGAACGGTGTTTATCCATATGCATTTCAAACAGAATGATATATGATGCATTACAGCAATTCAGATCTATTTGGACTTAAGAATTTCTGTGTGTATCTTTGTGTTACCATGAAATGAAAATATTGAGTTTTTTAAAACTTCAGTGCTTCAGAACAATGTTCACTTCAAATAGGGCTTATACCCATGAAGTTCTTTGGATGACCAGGTATACTCCCCTTCCAGCACAATCTAAGAGCCTACTGCTACAATTATCTGATGTAGGCCTTTAATAATGCAAAGCATGTCTATTCAAAATGAAGCTCCATTGATTTCAATGGGGCTTACTTCCACATGCACACACATATAGGATTGCAAGCTAAAATCTTCTTACTATTTATAGTTCACAAATTAATTATCAAGCAAGGAGATACACAGCTAGAAGGGCACAATGAAGCATTTTAGAAAGCTTTAGGTAGAAAAGAATCAGCATTTTAAAAGTTAATTAAGTCTTGAGTTCAAGTTATTCTCTGCAACAGTAAGGAAAAAATAATTTTTTGAAGGTGGGAAAAATGAAAAGTGTGTGTTTGTTGCAGGGGTGAGGGGAATGCAAGCAGTCAAAACCATAGAAGAGAAAACAGAACTGTCAGACCACCAAGCTGGATGGTGACAGGAGTGAAGTATACCTCGTGGGCGACTTGGTAGCGTCTGACAGCCTTTGAAGAAAAGGAGAAAACAAAATGTTGTAGGAGAAGGAGAAAAAATGGATGAAGGTGAATTAAAAAAAAGGAAAAAGCAGCAGTGAGAGGCAGGCAGCAAAGCAGCCAAGGCACCAGCAAATTCCCTTGTGATGTGAGAGACTTAGGGAGGGGCACAGTGCAGGTAATGCTCCAAGTCTAGAAGCATCCACAGAGCAAAGAAAGCAGCAGCTGACAGCAACATATCAGCAGAACACAACTGTCAAACGGATGGACGTTTTCAGAGGAAGAGCTCATCAAGAGTTACTTCCTCAGCTTACCAAGAGCTAGGTAATGGAAACAGCAGCATTCCTTCAAAACTGGGCATGCCTATTTCACGTGAGTGCACTACAATTACACAGACTGGGAAGAAAGATCTCTTTCTAGAGTCAAATAAATGGGCTTCCTTTCTTTTGACTCCTGCCTACCTATCTTGGCTCCTTTCTTCAAGAGGGTGACTACAACGGAAGTATTACGGCAACCCACTGCCCTGTCAAGGGGGCGCATCCCACTGTAGTCCACATGCTCAATCATGGCACCATGATCCACCAGATACTGAACCTACAAACAATCAAGCAACGAAATCAGCATTACCCTAGAAAGAATCATCATATTTATGCAATTAAGTCAATGTTTTTGAGTCCCATAGTGTGAGCAAGAGATGTTAAGCTCCTCATCAACATCCTTTTCAGTCTTTGTTTACTTGACTACAGATACAGAAGACATTAGAGGTAAAGGAAATCAAAAGGCCATCATGCCAAACCCCATGCCCAGAAGGAAATCACCTATGTCAACCCACACTCTGTAGGCCTAAACACTAGGAATTTGCATTTCTTTTGGTGTTGTGCCAGATGTGCACTATCAGCCCTGCACACCCCACCTCTTCAGACAAGAAATGGGGTGAAGCTATGGTACAAATGCCACAAATGGCACAGACCGTGGGAATTTATAGTAGGAGCAACAGTGCCTATGGAGTCAGACTTGTCCTCCTGTCTGACTTGATGCCTGTCATTTAGTTCAGCAAATTAGGGACAAAACTATCCCATCACATGGGAGGCTAAATACATACTGTAGGACACAAAGGAATAGACCTATCTCATATTTTTGATTTAACTTGTGGTGTGTTTCCAAACAAACTTGACTGTTACTGAGGTATGGGAATGTAAAGGTAGACAGTGGCTCGATCTGTCAGTGACTTAGTGAAGGCTTCACCAGGACCAACACCAGGTTTTCCTGCCTGAGGAAAGGACAGCATGCCTACTTCACGCATTCCACATACAAGAGTGTACTGGATTGGCAGCTGAAATTCACTTCAACACTGGCACTGGGACCAGATTTTCTACTGCAGAAATTGGCAAAAATTAGATCCCAGCATTTCCTATGACTGGCCATGCTGGCAAAAGCCTCTGGAAGTAAAAAACTAAAATGTCTGTCCACCCCCGCAATACTGCACCTGAAGGTAGCAGAGTAGCTTCAGGACACATGAAGGACAAGTTGTGAGACAAACAGCTCTGCCCTCCAACATGGAAGAGTACCTGGGAGGTTCAGGAGGAATGGCCAGGGGCCAGGTGCTTCTCAGTATATGCCACCTGAGGCAATTGCCTTACTCTGCTTAATGGTGGGGCTGCTTCTGGACTTCAAAAATATGTCATATTGCTTCTCCTCATAGATATGAATCCCACATATCCCAAATAAACACTTACCACCTCTGCATCTCCATAAAAAGCAGCTAAATCCAACGGAGTGCGACCATTTTTATCAGCATGATCTGTAGCAGCTCCACTCTCCACCAAAGCTCGCACTACTGAAAGGTGGCCCTTCAGGCAAGCCCAGCTAAGGGCAGTCAGTCCTTCTTTGTCCATGAGTGAAATGGAGGAGCCTGGAGAAAATAGAGCAAGACTGCTTATGTCTGTCAGTATCACTTGGGTTTTTATGTACCTCATCCTAGCACTTCTTACAGTTACGTTCTCAGGAAAGGGTGTGCATTAATATGATACAATGACCTCTGCAATACTCCTTATAACTAGGGTTAGGATGAACATAAGCGGAATCCATCCCTCTAGCATTCATGAATTTTCTCTTGTGTGTGGCTTGATCTTGGAAAGCAAACCAACCTGATAGGAAGTCCACAAACTTTCATGGAACAACAGCTGTGCAACTGAGCAACCTTCTTCTGTGTCAGCCGCAGCAGCACAAACTGCTGATGCAGGTGGAGTGAAAGAGAGATGCTGCTTATGCAGTAGGTGCATAAGACTCCATTGCTGGTGAGCCCTATGAAACCAATTGTCTTCTGCATCAAGTGTAGCAGCTCAATTGGCACCCACCTGTGGTGCAGCAGAAGGATTCTGCTTGCACAATGCATGCAGCCTGTTTCCTGGTGAGGGCCCCATGAGTGCTGGGCATGTTTGCCAAGTATTTGGACTCCGGGCCACTGCAAAGCAGACCAGTCTGGGGAGCTGAGTTCACTTCCAAATGGATTCCTCATACATTCCTACTCATTAACATTTGGAAAGCTGCCACCAGCTGCCACTTGAAATTGTTGCTAGGCTGCTGACTTGTCAGAGCATGGATTTGCAGCTTGCTGCTTTTCTTATAGGAAGGGTATACTAGTTTTTCAGCTCTTGGGGCAACATTGAGTGACTGCTGGATTGGCAGGGTTCTATATGTGCATACACACTTATTCAAATGCAACTTGAACTAGACAAGGCTTATCTACACATTCAGAATAATCCTGTAGTGCAGCTCTGTTGGGATTATCAATTGCCAGATGGGTTGCTTACATTAAAAAATAACACACAGCTAGGATTGCCTTTGTTATGACAAACTTAACACATCAGGAGAAGAGCAGAACTTTTCCTGTAATATTCTTTCTGTTATGTTTAACACAGGGAGTATTTTTTTTAAAAAAATCAATGTTGGAAACAGTTATACAATCAAGTTACATTTCCATCAGCAAAGGTAGTAATGTACTACAATAAACCTTGTGCCAGTAAGAATTGTACTGTGCCCAAATGTCCCTCTGAAGCTGCCATCATCAATGGAGTCCGACCTTGTTTATCTGCCATATTAACATCTGCGCCATGAGTGAGCAAGAGATCAACAATCTGAAATCACACAAAGGATGAAATCGATGAGTACAAATTATGCAGTCTGAGAGCTATGAAGAAGAGCATGAATCTTTATGCTTTGTACTCATGACAAACTAGCTTGCAATTAATATACCACTATGTTGTAGTATGCTGATTTTAGCCAGTCCTTCTAAAATCATTCATCCCTAAACATTCCTCACCTGTTTATTCGCTTTAATTTAACCAGTCGGCTGGCTGGCTGTTGGGTATATTGAATACTGGACAAGATGAATGCTTGGACTCATCAAGCATAACTGTTCATACATTTCAGAAAGTACTTACTATCTTCCCTCTACACCAGGCATGGGAAACATTCAGGCCATGGGGTTCCCCATCCAGCCTGTCAATTTCTTTCCCAAGCCCTCTCGCTCCAGTTGGGGAAAAGTGCTTATCTTCAATCTGTAGCCAACTAGCTCAGAGCCCAACAGGGACATTGATTTCCATTACCAAGATGCTGAAACCTCTCTGCTTGGTGCCACAGTGAGAATGAAAATGAGCCCCCTCCTCAGCTGATTTGCTTAGCAATGTGTGTGTGAAAGCTGTGCATGGCTGGTGTGTGCTTATATGTGGTGTAAATGATATATGGATGTTTATGTGTATGATGTGGCCTTGCCAACTTTGGGATGTAGCCAAGCCCATCACTCACATGCCCCACCCAAGTGGTTTCCCAGGTGGCACTCTGGCTCTTGAGTGAACCTTGAGTAAAACTCTGCTTTAGGCAAAGGCGGGCCTATGTTCCCAGGCAGGCTCTGGGTCATTTGAATTCCCAGCAATTTAGGCAGAACATTAATGGAACATTACTTTGTAGAACTGATGTACTCATGCTCAGCTACAATGCAGCACCTCCATCCCCAAAACAATAGGGGTATAATTAATGGTAGATTTCATTTGCATTGGCAGGATAATTAAAAAAATAGTCAGCAGGGGAAAAACATCCTTGGGTACATGCAATAAAACCTGAGCTAGAAAGAGCATGGATTCCTGTAATTGCAGCAACCTGAACTGATTATGCAACTGCCCAGGCAGAATTACACTAAATTTCTGAATTTCTCAGTTGTAGTCTATGGGCATTTATGTGTTCAAAATGAACCAGGAATTCTTTTTTGCAAATAAATGGTCATTTTCCACCTATCTCTGTAACTAGGACTGCTCCTGAAACGTCAATCATAGCTTTGTCTTCACTTGTTGACTGGGTTCATATGACATGACAGCAAACTAAAGAGAACAGTCAAAAATTGGTTGCCATGTTCTGTATACCTTAGGTGTGGCTGCCCACATTTATTTTTCATGATAAAAAATAGCTGCTTCATGCAGGCAATCTCTGTATGCCCAACAACAGACTTGTTCCTGTCAGCTTTGGTTTCCCATGCTTAATCCTCTTCCCATTCCCCTCAAGCTAAGCTGTTTATTTCAACCTGTTTTTTCCCCTTGGTTCTCCTTGTAAGCCAGCTGCATGTAATAAACTCAGCAATGTTAAAGGTGCATATGTCTTTCTCTTTTTCTCTTCCTTCCCGCTGTGGTATTTCTTTACGTGAGAGCATAAGAGGAGTTTTAGAAACAGTTTTTTCTGTAAGAACAGTCCACTGTTATTTTTTTTTAAAATGCATTGCACTACCCATGATATTGATAAACCCTAAAGTGCAATGGCTCACAGGCATAGACATTCCATTTCTTGCTATACACATGTCCATACATTTCTTCTCCCAACACACACATTTTCTGCTTAACTGTTCCCTCAGCTGCTGCCTCATTTTGTCTAGACCCTAAAACAACTTTGTCTAGATCCCCAACTTCCTCTACTATTGTCCTTGCCTTCATATGCCAACATCTAACCCAAAATCTGTGGTTTCAATAAATGTGTAGAGCAGTTGTCCTAGGTACTGTTCCACACGCAGTCCTTGGACTATAGTGCCTCCCTTGCTATTCTGCATGAGGATCATGCAGAAAATGTTGACACTGACTCCTCTCCACTCCATTCCTCATCAACTCCTGCTTCCTCAAGAGAAGCATCTCAGCAAAGGGGCACTGGGGAAACTGGTCCCTTTACTGAAGTGAAGACACCTTAAGCACAGCAGCGAGTTTGTGTATAATTTTGGCCTGAGGAAGAACGTGGATGCTTATAGACTTGTGAACAGTGGATTACTAGGTGTGATAACCTTTCCCCTGGTTTTCAGTGCAAATGTTGTTATGAGGCTATGTGCATATCTCATCACAGTGCAAACACAATCTTTAAAGGAGAAATATTTGTTTATTTATTTATTATTTAATAAAACATTTAGAAGTTCAAGCAGGTTGCCATTTACTAGAGGCCTGTGGTCACATCGCACATCATGGCATTTTAAAACAAACTGGCAACTAAAACCACTCGATTGGAAGGTCATTGCTGCCAGTGGAATTGCTTTATCCCATCTTCAAATAGTATGCTATCATCTCATGAAGGGATGACACTCCTGAACTAAAGAATCCCTCTTTGTAACACCAGGAACCTCCAGATGGGTTGAGTCATATTCTGCAAGGCCCACCACAGCCACTATACCATAAATATACAGTGCCTGGCTTGCAATATTTCAAGTCCATCAGATCCCTTCCCAGCCAAGAAATCTGGTCTTGGTCCTTCTGGTGGTAAAATCTACCCATGAGCTCATCCCTGGTACCCTGCAAGATTCCGACTCCACTCCAACTATGTATTCCTTGGGTATTAATGTCCTAACATAGTTTCCCTGTGCTGCAATACAAGATGCCTGGCCTGCCAATGTGCTATGAAAAGTCAGAGGGATGCCACTTAAGAGTATGGGAACTGCCATTTGGAAAGCATGCTGCAGCAAGTTTCCCAGGGAAATGAAGTCTAAGTTTGACTTCCCTACTGACATGGTTAATGGCTTTCATTAGATTCTGGTTCTCCTATTCTACCTAGGCACATGTATCTGGAAGAGAAACAGCTGTGGAAACATCACAGTATTGTAGGCCTGGACCAGTAGCTGGACAACTTACATGATAGTGGGAAGGACTGACAGTGGTGTAGTTTTCTTCTCCCAGAAGCTTGTTTACAACGTGCAACACATTGAAGAAATAAGTGAAATACCAGCTGTGACCACCTTGCCAGGGAGCTGAAATTAGCCACTGAAACAGCTGGAGGGTGCACCATTGATTCAAGGACATAGAAACATAGAAGTCAGAAGGGGTCTCCTGGGCCATCTAGTTTGACCCCCAGCTCCAGCCAGCTCTGTTCATGACATGCCTCTGCTCATGATATGACACAGGAAAACCAAAGAAAGGTTGCTCCATTGGGAATCAAGCCAGCAACATCTGTATCTCAGGAGAGTCCGTGAACTAAGGCATGGCTGCCTTTGACATCACCAAGAGCATGTGATAACTGTCCAAACTGCAGCAGCTGATAAGCAGATGGATGCCATTTAAAGCCAATAGTGGCTTTGCAAACAGTTGAGGAAGGCCAACAAGTGCAACCTCAATTCCACACAATTATGTGTGGTTTTATTTTATCATGAGATGCTTTATCTATTATTTTATTGTTTTATCTATTTTATCTGTTTAATTAACTTTTTTATTACTATTGTATGCTCTTCTAACATGTGTAAGCCACCCAGAGAACCTCTGGGTTATGGGGCAGCATGGAAGTAGAATGAAATTAGATAAGTAAATTCTAACCATTTCCCTATGGAGGCCTATGGAAGCACTTTCTAACCCCCTCCCCGCCCCGCCCAGTCCACTTCTGCCTCCTCTGCAATAGTGCTGAGTTTTGGTCCCTTTGCTATCTGAAATGCACACTTCAGCAGTACAAGATGGCTTTCAGTAAGCCTTTTTCCCATGTAGCCAGTTGCTAGTCTTTTGGTGGCACTGCAACACATCTTGAAAGCTAGAGAAATATCTCTTTTTCTCCTGGTCAAATGGGAGGAACTGGAACCACCCATTCAAAGATGTACCTGCAGCAATAAATGACAACTCTAGTGATTCACCTGGTCAGGCATGAAAGAGGACAAGCCATCAGGAAATGATGCAGGTGCTCATTAGTTTTCTGTTCTCTGACATGCTAAAAATCCCCTAATCTAATTTGAATTGCTATTCTGCTCATTTCATTTTGAAGATTTAGAAAGGTTTAACATTATAATGTTGAAATATATGTCATCAGCTAGGATTTGCTTCCAATACAACAATTCAACATTCAACAATACAATGTTGTTGTATTGTTAAACCATCCAAGGATGGTCTAGAAAAGTTTTAAATAGATAGATAATTACTTTGCAAAAGCAATTAATTCACTGAAGTATACCCAACAGGCTCGATCAGAATGACTCTCTGAGCCAGCACAGAGTGGGTTGTTGAACCCAAAATAGCGACTACTTCTGGAAACACTCCTTTTGAGTATGTCTGAGTCCCATCCTGCTGGGATGGTCCTTCTGGAAGCAAACACACCTTTTTTCTGTACACCAACCCTCTAGTTGGCTAGCCTTCCTCTCCCAAGGCCACATCATGGGGTCAAGAGTTGTACTAGCTGCATCTGGCTCTGAGAACTCTTCTTCCATACCCCCTCCTGACAGTTTTACATCTTGGTTATTTCCAGAACTTGTCTCAACACCTGGAGAAGCCTTAAAATAAGCTCCTCTGCTTCTCCCATCTCTAAGTCTGAAGCCCCAAATTCATAGACTCCCTTCGCCGCCTCCTCTTCTTCCTCTGACTCAGAGTCCAGATTGGGATGTCCTGGGAGTGCATGCTAAGCACAAAGGCCTCTCCCATTCTCAATAACATATCCAATTCATTCTAAGTCACAGGATCTGCAAAACCTTCTGTATAAGGGTAGATTATTCTAAAGGAAATCACAATTCTAATTAAAAAGGGGCAAAAATCTTAATCACTATCTTCTTTAAATCTTATATTTTTAGCTGACAGTTCCATTTCATCCAGCAGAAGCTCCCTTCAACAACTCATGGATCCTTGAAGTACTGGCCATGACCTCTGTTTTTCAATGGATATTACTAGAGATTCGTCTGGATAAACAATATGGTTTGTTTGCAGATGCACTGGCTTTCAGTCCCTCACCTAATTTCTTCAAGCAAACTCTCCAGCCACTATTTCCCCTTTTCAGTAACATTGGAGGGAGTCCAACCTCCATTTTTTCTGATTGTATCCAAATATCTGACGTTAATTGTTTGCAGATTTATCTGCTTTGCTCTCTCTCCTCAGTGTCTCAAAACTAATACTCTAGTCTCTCTCCCCCCCTCCCCACCCCCATTTAAGTGTTGGGAGAACTCTAACCTCATTTCCCTCCAAAGAATCCTTGTGTCCAATGCTTATCATTTTGCAGGTGCATCTGTCTTCTCCTCTAGTGCCTCCAAACCAAACTTTTCCTTGTTTTTCTATAAGCTCCTATCTCCTGTGCTCCAGATGGACAACAGCCACTCTTTGGTTCATCCACGGTGAAGCTCCCAAGGCTCCAAAATGGAAACACCCCTATGTGATGCCCTGCCCTTAACCCATCCACCCCCCAGCTGCAAAGCCAGAAACCAAGGGGTGGGGGGAATGCATGGTCAGAGTTGGAGAACTAGTACTTATGGTGAACTAAATGAGGACAGCTGCTTGAAAGGTAGAAAAAGGAACAGGACCCAGTTTCAGCATCAACTCAATTGGGAAAGACTCAAAGTCCAGATGCTGGAGGCCCGTAGGCTAAAGGATGTGGGAAAAGGTTGGCTGCAGCTACAGGGACCCTCCATTCACTTTATTGACTTATTTTATAATTAAATCAGGATTATACATTGTTTAGGGGTATACTGAATTCTAGCATAAGCATCTTCATAGCACGATTAATCTGCCCTCACCAGGTGGTTTTTGTCTCTAAATGATGGATAATACAGAGGGTCTTTTCTTTGGAATTTGTAAAAGAGGAATCTAGGTATCTTTTATTTTTCTTCATGCAGAAGAAACTTATGACAGGGTGAAAAGCAGATATTTATCTTACTTGCTTTTTTTTTTTTTTGGTAAGAAATTTGTAAATTTTATGCAGGCTATATATGACTAACCAAGGGCTACAAGAATATAACAACATACGGACTTACTGTATAGCCCTGGAGGATAATAGTTACATAGGTTAAGATTTTACTAGACAGCATAGATATTTATTTAAAAAATCTTCTTCAGTAAACCACAGGAAAGTCTACACATGCATCAGAAACAGAAAGTTTATTAAAGCAGTTATATTCAGTTGGGATAAATGAAAATACCACTGCATTTCTCCATGGACTTCAATTATCAACTATCTATAGGGAAAATTTTAACTTACAGGGAGAAGCTGTGGTTTGGAAGTATATGAATGTTATCAGTATTCTGGATGTCATAAGAAATGATACATGTACCAAAAGTGGAAATGGTAGTGCAGAGATGGCAGTAAGATCAAACCAGAAGCACCCTCATTGGTTGCAAGTGCTACAACTGAGAACTCATATAGTGCAGCATTTGAGAAGTAACATATTAACAAGTGAACAAATCAGATTAGAAAAGGAATTGATTGCAGAGAAAATCTCTAAAAGGCAACTAGGATTATTTATGCAAAAATGGAACAGGCAACAGAGAGGTTATGAGCTACTGAGTGATGAACGGAAATATATTTGCACTCAAGGAATGGCAAAATCTTATATCATTGATATGAAAGAAAGCTGTTATAAACTAACTTATGGGTAACATCTAACCACAAGGACATTGTATAGAATGTATCCAAATATGGGGTTTGAGGCATGCTGTTAAGTATGGAGCCAAAAATGCAAGTACAATCCATATTTGGTGTGGATATTTGGAGAGCCAGTGTGGTGCAGTGGTTAAGAGCATGGGACTGGGACTCAGACGATCTGGGTTCTAGTCCCCGCTCAGCCATGGAGCCAACTGGGTGACTGGGCCAGTCACAGACTCTCAGCCCAACCTACCTCACAGGGTTGTTGTTGTGGGGATAAGATGGAGGAGGAGCATGATGTAAGCTGCCTTGAGCCCTTGTAGGAAAAAGGCAGGATATAAATCGAAAAGTAAGTAAGTAAGTAAGTAAGTAAGTAAGTAAATAAATAAATGGTGAGACTGTTTGAAGATATGATGGTTCTATTTGCTGATGAGGATTACTGGTGAAACTATCCCAGGATATTTTAATGATAAGGAAGACTAGATGGGTTAGAGAACTAGTAAAAAAGAAAGAAGGAAGAAAAGTATTTTCTCCTAGAAAGTAGCAAAAGATACATGAAACAAGCTTGAGCTGCTGCCACCTCCTCCACTTCTGAGTTTTCATTCTTCCATGGTGCAACGTCAGCTGTAACAGTAGCTTCTGCTTGTTTGCTGTTTGCTCCCAGCCCTTGGGGGTGCAGCTGTATTGGGGAGAATGTGAGGATGTTCCATGGCTGACTGATGTCTGTTTCTCCTGTGAGTGAAAGAATGTGAAGACCAGATGGCAGTTGTGGGGGCCGGAAGTGGAAAGAGGTGGGAGTGGCAGCAGACAAAACTGCCTCAGTGCTCATTGGCTCTAGGGAGGGGACAGAAGAGAACAGGAATCCAGAGGTGGCAATAGCATGCCAACCAGGAATCGGTGCCTGTAGCAACTGTCTCTTCACAGCCTCTCATGGCAGTCTTGCTCTTGTTCTAGAAGGGTTAGAGCTTTGCTCTTTCCCCTTTTTCCTGAAAGGTGGGAATGGGGCCTGAGATGGTGGGTACGGGGGTGGCAGGGCAGCCAACCTTAGATTATGGAATGACAGATAGCAAAAATGTAGACATTTTATTTTCACTATAAAAGATGAGAGAAATATAAAATACACTTAACTTGCAGATACAAATGAACAATTTAAGCATTATTCAAACTTGTATACTATCGATAGTGAAGTTTCCCCCCACATTTTGATTTTCATAGAATCATAGAATTGAAAGGGGTCAAGAAAGCCATCAGATCTAACCCTTTGCTCAGTGCAGGACTCCAACTATCCCTCTCAGATTTCTGTGTCTGGTTTCTTCACAATGCAAGTTTCTTTCTCCTTGTATATGGAGTAAATTAGGAAAATGATTATGAGTATGACTACATATGTATGCCTATTTTGAAATAACAACAACAACAACAACAACAATAGAGCCTAAGTCCATGGGTCATTCCAGCCATGCCTTCATTTACCTACAAGTCAGTGGGAACAGACTGGAATCATGTTATAGGGATAGGGAACTTAAAAGAGTTACATGGAAAATGAAGTGTGAATTGCCTAACTGAGATCTGGCTAATGAAATTTTCTACATATGTAGACGAATCTGACCAAAATGAAATTGGAATATTTGGCATATTTAGGAAAAACAAGTTCCTACCATTTCTGAGCCACAGGTGTGTTTTAAATATGTTAGGCATTCTTTACATATGAAGCACACAAAGGAAGTTATTTGGTATGAAATGCTCTCTTGGCAGCAGGTCAACTCAGCCACTTGGTTCCTTGGCTCACAAGAGCTATCCGGTTACGGCACATCTTACACTCCTAAGCTACAGAAAATCACTCATGCATCCAAAAGCCTCTGTAAGTGAAATTCAGAGAGACCTGGACACTCACTTAGGGTTGGGATGAACTCTTTCAAAATCCATCCCTCTAGCACTCACAAACTTCCTCTCATGCTTGGCCCAGTCCTGCAAAGTGAGCAGAGCCAAGAAGTCTATGAATACTTGTAGACCCTTAGCTATGCAACTGGCAACCTTCCCCACCAAGAATGACTGCAGCACGTAGAAAATGGGTGCTACGAGTAGTGTGCCAGGCACTCTTCCTGGTGACCAAACTTCTTTCCCACTCACTGCTACTAGCAGCAGTGCATGTAGGAAAGGGTTGTTGCTTGCACAGCACATGAGGCTTGATTCTAGGTGAGTACCCTGTGAATGCTAGGCATGTTTGCCGAGAGTTGGACTCTGGGTCACTATAAAGTAGACTGGAGTCTGGGGAGCCAAGGCCAGGGAATCCAATGGATTCCCATTCCTAAACAGATTCCTTCCACATCCCTATATGCACTTATGCTTTTTACAAAGATGCTGTATCAATTATGAGTTGCTGAGGTCATTCCCAGAACATCTCCATAGGCAGAAATTTTCTTCTGTGAGCATCAGTGAAGATATCTCACAAAGACATTACTCCTGTGTGCTGTTAGTAATAAAAGAATTGTCCCCAAGAATCTGCACTGTATATTTACTTGTTACTTCAGTTTCCTATTTCAGACTTGCTCCCATTTCTCTTACCTGCCAATGGCCTTGTCTAACAGTGCTGAACAAGGGAACAACCCCACGGCGGTTAGGTTGGGCAACAGCTGCTCCTTGCTCAAGAAGCAGTCGACAAACATCCAGCTTGCCTCGTCCTGCTGCAGCAGTCAGAGCTGGAAAAGTGAAAAGACTGATTAGAATAAAGGTCATCTTGAGAAAAACATCTGGTTTATGACTTCCAGCTATGGGATGATACATGCCTAAGAACTGTGCACTGTTAAAAATAAGAACAATCCCTGCTTAAGGCTTACAATCTACTTTCAGAAGAAAAGAAACCTGAGAAAGGAAGGAGAGGATTGTGCTTGTTGAACAGTGAAAAATTCAGGCTGCCATTTCTAAGACTTACCTAAGAGATAAGGAGCGGGGCATACCTTGCTAGGACAATGTCTGTGTCATTTATGGCAATTGATGGATGTTAACTAATAAGAAAGGAGAAGTCACAATCTCTGCATCCAGGGAAGAGGCTCCTACTGATTATTTTGTTCACTTTAACTCCCACTATTGTTTCAAAACTAAAAAGCATAACAAATATTTATCTGAAACTTGGGAAAATGTCCAAGTTTTTTTTCTGGCATTCTAAGAATAGGAATATGTCTAAAGTACCAAATATTGGTAGAATCTTAAGTTATTTTATTTAATAAATATGTCCACTTGTAATACTTTCCACTGTAAGCATTTGGTGATAAGTACAGCTACATTTCCATTCTACAAGATGAAGAGCCCTGTTTAACTTAAGAACATCTTACCAAAATGTTGTTTAATTAAAACAAAAAATCAGAGAGGACATCATGTTAGCGTTAGCCTATATGAACCTTACAGCACTTTAAAGACTAACTAAATCATTATGGCATATAATTTTATGAAAGATCATGGCAAAATTATTTGATACTCTTGTAGGTTGGACTAGAGACTCTTTCTTGTTAAAAAGATAACACTCCAAAAAGCTCCATTGTCTGCACTAAAAAATAGTGTAGTTTCCTAGCACAGAAACCATCAAGTACCAGGTAGCATTTCATGGTAATGTCAACATTCCTTCAATTGTTGATAAATTAGACCTGTTCCCAAAGTGTTGACAAGTAAATGCTGCATTGCAGGAAATCACATGGCTTCAGTAAACGTATCCTAGACACCTGTTGAGTAAAAGGTTAACTAGAAGGCTGAAAAAAGGGTTAACAAGAGAGTTTGAAAATAATGGAAAAATTGAAAATAATGGAAAAATAATTTGCAAATTAGCTACTCATGCAGAGCATGCAGCATACATCCAGTTCAGCATGGATTTTGTTTGTGGGAATGGATGACATCTTGATTAGTTAATTTCCCCTGGCTCAAACAAGGCTTTTTCTACATTGCTGTAATACTTGTACACCATTGTTTAGTTGCTGCTGCTGCTGTCTCCAGTGCGTCCCCAAGCTATGTGCTCTTTTTACCCAAGGTTGTAACAACTTTGTAAAACCAAATTACTTAACTGCATAACCCAGGAATTATGGCACTATGGCTACTATGTGATCTAAGCTCCAAAAGGGGAATTGATGAGGATGTTTCCATAGCTGAGTTTGTAAGTTTCCACAGCATCCTTTTCCTTGGTTTATGAAGGGTTTTCCTGAAGAATTCTAAAGGTTGTCATAACCTAGGCTGGACAAAAAGGTAAGAACTGTTGCTTGTTGAGTTTGCTGTTTGTCTCAGATAATAAGTGTTTGCTCCAAACAAGAAAGTGCTTGCTTTGCTTAGGAAAGAAAGCTGTATCAGTATGTAGAATCATGTTTACTATAAAAAAGAGGAACCAAGAGTAGCTCAGGGCCTCAGTTTAGAAACACCCACTGTGTGCTATTTATTTTGCAAAATAAATTGGGCACTTTTTGGATAGCCAGCTCTATGGGTCAATCCCCCATATCTTCCACAGGAATAAGGTGGTGCTCCATGTAGTATCACCATTCATTTAAATCAGAACATTGCTTTGCCTGCCTCTTTCCTTCCTGGTCCAATCTGATGGAGTCTATGCTACATACTGTGGACACGCGTAGGGCACTCTTCCACTCTGGGACTGAATCTTTCAGGCAGTCACAGAGATTTTCCTTTTGCTATGGTAGCAGACATAGAGAGCACCCTATCTCCTTAAAAGGGTTAGCAGCTTGGGTGAGGTGGATCATATCACTAGCATATAAGTTGGGACAGCAACTCCCAGTTAGATTCAAGGCACATTTGCCAAGAATGATGGCAACACTGACTGCCCAGCATGTTAAGAGCACTCTACTGGACCTCTGCAGAGCAGACATCATTGATCTTTGTCAACCACTACAAGCATGAGAGCTCTGAATTCGTTCCAAGTTCCTTGAGTCTTCAGTGTACCACAGTGGGCTCCCCATTTGTATAGGGAAACATTCATCGTAACTGTGAAGACTGGTTCAGGAGGGGCAAATGGAATCCCTCTTAACAAGAGATCATGGTGCATCCAGCAGCCACGACTGGCACAGACTGGTTCCAACATCTAAAAGTGCTACCACTGTGGGTCATCCATGGGATGATAGGTATGAGCAAAACAGAGTTATAGTGGTCACATCTTAAGCCTGACCAATGGCTAGAATAACCATGAATCCAAGTAGCCACTGAATCTGGAGAGCTATCACCACACATTGGCTGCACAGCATGGAGAAAATCTCAATCACTGTCATAGCTCTTGACTCCTTTGCCAAGATGGAGTCTAGCCATGTTCCAATGGAGAAGACAGATCGGGAATGGGAAGGAACATATCTTTCTGCAGAGTCCCAGACTATGGGAAATGTCTCTTCCAACCAGGAAATGGAGGAAGTGCCTGTGAGAATGCTCTAGAAATATGAAAATATGCATCCTATAGGTCAGTGGATGCAAGCAAGTCTCCACTTTGAAGCAAGAGCAAAATGCTCTGCAGGCTGACCATACTGTCTTTGTCAAAATAAAGGTGTACAAGTCCCTTATTTCCAGGATTGATTGAAGTTCTTCATACCATGAAGTATCTGAAGAAAAAACCAAATGGAGTCTCAGAGATGGCAACTGGCTCTATTGCTTCCCTGAAGAGTAGAGACTCTGTCTCTTCAAGTAGGGCTAGAGAAGAGGCTGTGCTTCTTACAGTACTGAGAAGAGGGAGGGTGAGGTCCCTATGCTGCTCAATTAGGTGGTTGCAACGAGCATCCAGCTTCTCCCCAGTGAAATGCTGGTACCACACTAAAGTGGTCTGGTAGTTGGCCACTTAGACTTCCAGAGCAAAGGAGGAATACATGAGTCTCTTCAAAGAGTCCAGCTGGCTTTACTCCTTATTATGGTATGACCTTCCTTGTGCTGATTCCACAACAGTGAAATTTTGTTTAGGGTGCATCCTGTCAGCTCAGGCTACAGAAGTAGGGTGGACAGGGGAGGAGAGTCCTTCTGATAACCAAAGCCCATATGGATTTGGACAATGGTACCATCAGTTCTGGTTCCAGAATAGCTGAGATCAATGTCTTCTTTGTGGCCAGATCTGAATTATGTTCCTTGGAGTGCCGTTTTCATTTGGAACCAGAAGTGTTAATTACCTTATTTATTATTTATTTTATTTAAAACATTTTTACCCTGCCCTTCCCGATAAAATGTCACAGGACGGCTTACAATAATTAAAAACAGTAATAATAATAATAATAAATGTACAATCAACAATGATGATACAGTAATTAAAACAATAAATAGTAAAAATAAATAAATCACATTCATAAAAAGAAAAAATAAAATGCGACTGTAATCTTAAACATCTTAAATCCTTGATTCTTAAAATGATGGTTAAATAAAAAGGTAAGTCCTCTTGGCCAACTTCTTTGCCTTCTTCAGGCTCAGGGATCTTCACAGAGATGTTGTTGGTGACTGGCTCAAAGCATGGGTGCTTGCTGTAGGAGGTGTGGATTGAGGCAAGGAGGCAGCCTCAGATGCCGATAGGCAGCTTGTCTCTGGTGCCCTGGCAACATCAACTGTATGAAGAGTCTCGTTCCATAATTCTGTGTGAAAGCAGTCCTGGTGTTTCCTAGCTTGTTTAATGAAGGCCATGCAAATTGGACATTGGTCCACCTGATGACCCTCACTAAGATGAAACACAAAAAGTGAGTGCCTACGTGTAGGCAGGAGTTTACTGCCACACCTCATTTATTTGTGAAATGCAGCCTTTGATGTCATCAGTAAGTAGAAGAAAAAAGGAGATGTTGAAAATAGTGAAAGATAAAGTTCAGCAGGAACTGGAATAGCTGGAGTGATCTGGAAAATGGATTTCTTTTTGTCTTTTGTAAAGTAAGGAAAAATGGGTAATGGGTTGACAATAATAAGAGGAAAAGATCAAGCGATAGAGAGATAGGAATAGATCAAGAGAGAAATGTTTGCTAAGGAAGAAAGGTATAGAAAAATGCTTAGTAGCTCACCTAAAAGAAAAAGATGAAATTCCCAAGGCTCAGGTGAAAATGGTCAAAGAACTGAGGAAGAGGGGGAACTCCTCTCATATTTAATGGATGCCAGGGTGGGGAGGGGTTCCCACCAAAATGCTCTTAGCTGTACAATGAGCTTGACAACAGGCTCCATGCAGGTATAGAGCCCATATGTGTGATGCACAGAGACCACAAAGAAGACCCAATATTTCTCAGTCAATCAACAGGAGGAAAGGCTATAAAATTTACCTGTCTCTCCCCAAAGAGTGTCAAAACTGTTGATTTGTGCTCTTTCTACCTCTTCCTCATCTTTTTCTGGGAGATCAAGCAGGTAGGAGACAATCTAAAAACAAAGAAACTTGTCAGTTTATGAACTCTACACTTATTAAAAATATGCTGCTGATATATGAAAGAAAGTAAATTTGGAACAAAACAGGAGTGAACACAATTTCTATTTGGGATTTGTGCCCAAAGAAAATGGGTTTCCCAGCCCCAGTAAAATAATTATTTACCTTTAAAAGCAAACACACTCCCTATAGCATTGGAAACAACTGTACAAAATGAGACTTTACAAAAACAGAGTCCCAGAAAATTAAAAGGCTGTCAAGTTTTACGGGGGAAAAAAGTCTCACACAGTATGGAAATTCTATAAAAACATGTGAAACCTAATTTACTAGAGTGGCACCCTAGCCTACATGCTAACTTTAGTACGTCACTGTGCTTTTTCCTAGGAAAAAATAAGATTGCCATGATTATTTAGTAATAACAAAAATTATTAATCTATTTCAGGGGTAGACAACATCATGCTGCTCTCCAAATGTTTTGAAGTGTAAATCCTATCTACCCTGGCCAACACTGACAGTGGTGAGAAATTGTGGAAGTTGTGCTCTAAAACATTTGGAGGACTCCCTAACTCTGCTCTAATACATGGGAGGGAAGACTTGGGGAGGGGGATTTGAAGTTTGCAGCATTAGAGTTTTACCAGAACCCCCGGATCTACCAGTTGCATCCTAGTGTTAAAAACATACACTTAGACTTAAAGAATATGTTATCTCTGAGCTGTTCCTGAGCATATGAATTTGTTTTCAGCAGTATCTAATTTGGTCTGTGCACACATGTGTGTCTTGATAATGTAAACTGGGCTTTAAAAGGCCTTGTTATTATTGCAGTTGTTAAAACTGTCAGAAATCTTTACCAGTCAACCAATCCTGAAGCTTGCCATGCTCCATGAAAGGCGTGGGAAGAGGAAACAACAACTCAAAGAATGAAGCTCTATACTTCCTTTCACATCATGTTACATTTAGTATTCCCTTCCTACAATGCTTGAGGACACCATAGGAATCAGTGAATCATAGAATAATAGAATAGTAGAGTTAGAAGGAAACAAAAAGGTCCCTTCTTTGGCCCAGTGCAGGACTTGAAGTTAAACTATCCTTCTCAGATGAAAATGTCCAGCTGCAATGTGAACATCTCTAGCCCACAACCTTCCTAGGTAATCGGTTCCATTGTCATACTGCCCTAACGGTCAGGAAGTTTTGAATTGCAACTGGAGTCCATTATTCTGTGTCTGGGGTGATTGAGAAGAGATCATGGCCTTCCTCCTTGTGACAGCCTTTCAAGTTCTTATAGAATCTCAGTCTTCTCTTCTCAAGCCTAAACATGTCCACTTCTTTCAATCTCTCCTCATAAGGCTTTGTTTCCAGTGCCCTGATTATCTTTTTTGCACTCCTTTGAACCTTTTCTAGCTTGTCTACATCTTACTCAAGCTGTGGTGCCCAGAACTGGACACAGGACTTCAGATAAGGCCTAACTAGTGTTGAGTAGAGGATAACTAGTTCTACCTAAAAGTAGGTATCTGCCTTTGTCATTTGTTATCACTTTGCCATTCACATTGAGTAGCTGAACCCCCATTACAGGGACAGATGTGAAGAAGGCTTTTTTTTTTTTTTTTTTTGTTGCTGCTTTTAGCATTCCTTGCTAACCTCAGTTCATTCCTAGCTTTAGCCTTCCTGATGCTGTTCCTGCAATTCTGTTCTACTTGCTTGTACTCTTCTTTTGTAGCTTGGCCTACCTTTTACTTCCTATACATGTCCTTGTTTTCAGATTAGCTCTAAGCTTTTTGTGAAGCTACATGGGCTTCCTCTGTTGTCTTCTACCTTTTTTCCTTGTTAGAATTGTTTGCAATTGTGCCTTTAGAATTTCCTTAAAAAAAAAAAAAAACCTCTGGCCATCCTGGACTCCTCTTCTCATTAGAGTCACTTGCCATGGGATGTTACTTATCATCGTTCTGCATTTATGAAAACTGGCTTTCCTAAAATCCTGGCCCTTACTTCCTTTAAAATCCAGAATTCAATTGCTTGGTAATAGGATGGGATATAAATGCTTGTAATTAATTAATTAATTAATTAATTAATTAATTAGGAAGGCACAGTCACTTTCCTTAGAGTTCATAACTACACTTTATCCACTAGGTCATTCCTGTTGGTTACAGTCAAACCAAAGACAGCCATTCTTCTATAGTTTCTTCTTCCACTTTCTGTAGGGGGAAATTATCAGCAACACATATCAGGAATTTCTTGGAGGGGACAAGTTTGGCAGAATTTCTCTCTGACAGGTATCAAGGAAATTGAAATTCCCAATAATGATGAAATCATGCCCCCTTGAAACACTGGCGATTTGCTTTCCAAAAGTTTCATCCTTCTCTTCTCCTTACTGGGTGGTCAGTAACAGACTCCAACTCTATGTTCTTTTTATTTTTTCCTGCATTTATATTAATCTAGATGCTCTCAATGGAGATACTAAGGTCATCCTCCTGTATTTCTGTGCAGTGATATGTATCTTTAACATGTTGCGTAACTCCACCTCCCTTTCTGTTCTTGAACCAGTTATATTCCTCAGTTGCTGAATTCCAGTCATGAGAGTCATCCCACCAAGTTTCAATTATATCCATCAGATCATATTTGTTCTCCTGCATTAAGAGCTCAAGTTGGGCTGTCTCTTCTCCATACTCTGGGCATTAGTATATAGATGTTGAGGTTTATGTTATTATATATGTGATTTATACCCTAGCTTTGTTCTTACATTTTTTGGAAGACTATCACTGTGTGCAATAAGACCTTCTCTCTCCATTGTGGTGCATAAGCCTTTGTCCATGGTGACCCCAAGGTGTATTTCTCCTTCCCCTGCAGGATTCGGTTTAAAGCCTTCCTGATAAACTTCATGCTTTGGTCAAACATCTTCCTTCCTGTTCTTGTAAGGTGCAACCCATCCCTTGCCAGCAGTCAATCTTCCAGGAGGTGTAGCTTATGGTGCTAGAATCCATATCTCTTACATAGACACCACCTTTGTAGTCAAACATTCACCTGGAGTATATTTCTTTCACTGTCTATTCTTCTTCCAAGAACTGGAAGAAAGAAAAAACTATCTGGACTCCAAAATTCTTGAATTTCCTTTCTAAAGCTTCAAAGTCTGATGAAATTTCTTCAAAGCTCTACTTGGTAGTGTCATTTGTTCTCACATGTATAAGAAGAAAGGGTTATGTGTCAGTGGGGTTTATGATCCTTGACAGTCCTTCAGTTACATCACCAAGCTGTCTTCTAGGGAGACAGCATACCTGATGAATGTCATGTCTAAATGAAATTCGTGTGTTTCCATCCCACAGAACAGGGAATCTCCCACAACTAATACTCTTTTTGTTCTTGTAGGCCTTGTGTCATTGCCACAACATGGTTGACCTTCAGTCTCTTGCTCAGTGTTGCAGAGGGTGACTTGTATTCTTCCACTGCAGGCTGCCCTCCAATCTCATCCTCGAGTAATTGAAAGCGGTTTGAGAGTTCCACTGCTTCCACTGGTGCAGTTCTTCTGCTTCTATCACTCTTTTTCATGGAGTTTTCTCCTCATTTTTCCATATCTCAGGATTCACCTCTTTTGTTCAAGCTCGTTGCTGCTCTTCAGTATAACACTTAGCAGTTGCAGTTCTACCACTCTGTCTGAAAACTCTTCAACTTCTCTTATTCCCTTGAGGGAGGACACTTGCTATTCTAGTGCTCTCACCTTTTCTTCTCACAGGGGTATTAGATTGTAATTGTTGCACATGTAGGTCATATTAACCTCAGGCAAGAAAACAAACATTGCACCAATGTTGCTGGTCACCACCACTTGGGAGTCTTCTTGGTCTGTACTTTCTGTTACCTTTTTGATTCTACCTTGCTGGTCCTGCTGTAACAAGCCATGCTTTCTCCTGTCTTCCCTGAAGGTTAACAACATGGTCCTACCAGTAAAGGAAGGAAACAAAGTGGGGAAAAGAACTAAGGGTGAAAAAAGAAAAAAGGGTTAGGGAACTCCTCCCTGTCCTTCCCACCAAATTCTACCACCAATGTTTTACAAGGAAGAAAGCAAAGAAAAAGAAAAGAAAGTTAGGGATCTCCCCCTTGACCTCTGCTGTCAAACCTCTGTTAGCTCTCCCTGGTCACTCACTCTCTGGGAGCTTGGTTGCTTGTATACAGTAATTCTTAGACTAGTGGGGGCAGCTTCCTCTGATCTGCTTAGCTAGGAGTCAGGAACCAGAATGAATCTCCCTGCCTACACAGCTGCTGAGAGTAATCAGGCCACTCCTCTTCAGTTGCAGCTCTCAGCAGCACATAATGAGCAGATGATCACCTGGGAGAGACAGTTCCTGGTCCTTTGCCTCTGCCTTTATCTCCTCTTCCATAATGATTCTGCTGCCAAACTCCTGTTAGCTCTTCTTGTTTGCCCGTTCTGATCAATCACTCTCTGTGAGTTTGGTTGCTTGTATACATTAGTCCCTAGACCACTGAGGCAGCTTGTTGTGCTCTGCTCAGCTAGGAGTCAGGAACCAGAATAAGGCTTCTGTGGCAGTGATGATGGAGCCCATTTCTTACACCTGTTTCATTTCTTCTCAGCAATCAGGGTGAGCAGGAGGCTTCAATATCTTAATACTGTCGAACCTTAGCAGAATCCATCTCTTTGGCAGTTGTGGTACGAAGGTTTTACAACTGGCAACCTTCCTCCACATCAGGTACAGCATCACAAAGGCTGCCGTGGAGGGCATGGAAGAGGGATACTGCTTGTTCACGCTGTTGTTCATTGCAGTGAATGTGCATGAGTGTGTGAATTTGAACAGTCTGTGATCTATATTGGCTGGGAATCTTTCAGTGGAGTGGAGGGGAGGGGTTTACACAGGGTTGATTCAATCCCTCCTGTGATTAAACATCTACATGAAGCCATTGTGTGGGAGCATCCAGAGTTTGGGGTACAGTGTCAGCAATATGCTTATAACATGCAGTGTCGCATCTTTTTTTTTTTTTTTTTTTCATTTCAGGC